GGGGGACCGCGCCCAGCAGCAAAGTACAATTCCCTGCGAGTGTATTATCTTATGATGTAGTACGGCCCGAGCGGGGGCGCGGACGGCGAGGCGGAGGAGGAGGGGGAGGAGAGGGGTTGGGGTCCAAACACGCTGCTGCTGCTTCCCTCTCTAGTTTGCGCGCGCGTTCCGGTGAGCCGTCGGAGGCGGCGGGAGGGGAAGGAGAGAGAGAGAGAGAGAGAGAGAGAGAGAGAGAGAGAGAGAGAGAGAGAGAGAGAGAGACCTCTGCGCGCATCGGGCGCGGCGGCGGGCGGCGCCCGGAGGCAGGCTATTATACGACTGTGTCGCAAACGTACCGCCCCAATCGAAAAACGGAAGGGGAGCTAAAAGAGAGCGGGAGAGAATGAGAGAGAGAGAGAATGAAAAAGGACCGCAGCCGCGACAGGTTATTAGCGCGCGACCCCACGGCGGGCTCAAATATCCTGCTGCGGCCGCCGCGGGCGAACCTCTGGGGCAGCAAACTAACTACAGAAACGATTTTCAACAGTTTTCCTGTGTTGTTCGTTCGCTGTTGCTGTTTTTACACTCCAGCTGATCTCGCTTGGAGAGAACCGCGTGCGTGCCTTGCTGCTGCTGGACGAGTCGTACCCTCCGGCCGGCGCGCAGCCTTCTCTGCTGGAGCGGGCCTATGGAGGACGCGGCGAGCTGGAGGGGAGGCGAGGCGCGCAGCCGAAACGGAATTTATTGCGATTCCCGGCGCGATCACGACGGCCTCGCAGCTCGGCCCGGGGTGGCCCTCTCGCTGTCTCCCTCTCCCCCTTTCTCTCCCTCTCACTCTTTCTCTCTCTTCCTCCCTCCCCCGGCTCTGGTGCTGGACCGCCACTGCTCCCCCTCCTCCTCCCCCTTTCCAGGCGAGCCCCTTCCCGCCGGCCATTCGGCCATTAAACTAACCAAGTGTGAAATAGAGCCACACACATAACAATCCATCCAGTGCGGCCGTGAGCCTCGGCCGGGCCGGGCCGGGCCGGTGCCGCTGCGGGGCGCGGAGGGGGCACAATAGCGGGGGCATCAGGAGGAGAAGTGCAGTTGTTATCAGGCCCCTGGAATCTTTTGTAGTTGTGTGTATAGTAGTGGTGGCGCTATATGTGGGTGTTACAGAACATCCCCCCTCCATTACTCCGGCCTCTGCCAGTCCCGTCTGACCGCCCGGGCCTGGCTCATTCGCTTTGGGCGCCGGACGCGGATATGGGCTGCATAGGGCATATTCATGAGGAGCATCGGCCCCTGGCCCCGCCCCGCCCCGCCCCGCCC